CAGTAATATTGTCTGCTGACTCTCCATTTCGTATTCCATCGCCGAACTAGGCAATTCAAAAGAGAATGGGAGAATGAATATGACGCTTTCATATGCAACTGAGAAGTGAACCGTAATAGATTATTTCATTGAAGCAAATAATACATCGAAATAAATATAATATAAATAAGAAATGACTGTCTTCGTCACTGGGTATATAGGTATAATCCGTTGGCGCGTACCCGTCCGCGCTGAAAGTCAATTCACATGCCGGACATTTCTCCGATTGCCTTCTTCACATGCATTTCTCTCTTTTTGTGGTGTCATATCGGTGTGAGGCTCCATCTCGCTGTACATTCCCTGGCCGACTGGCCTAATACTGGGGCTGTTGAGGGTTGTAAGTCTGCTGGGGTGGAGGGTAGGATCCCTGAGGCTGGGGAGACTGGTAACCGTGTTGAGGAAGCTGATAATCGGGCTGAGGGGCTTGCTGCTGAGGGTTGGGCTTCTGATCATGATATTGCTGCTGCTGCTGAGCAGGAGGAGATGTTGGCATGTGCATTCCCTCCTTCTGAGCTTGGTAGCCCTGGGTGATGGGCCCCTGAGAGAGGCGAGACTTGACCTCATTGTCCTGCTGGATCAGAGCACAGCAGAGGCACCAGTAACTGACGCAGCAATCGTTCATGCCACTGCCTTTGATGCCGAATCGCTCACGGATCTCACCGCGCTTCATCATGGAGTAACTAGGAGTCGCGCGTTAGTTGACGGTTTGAACAAGACTACGGGAATAGTCTTACATCCAGCCACAGCCAGTCACACAGTTGATCGCGCAGAATATAAGAGCATCGCTGTTGCAGGTATCGGCAGTCTGCATAGTAGGGTCTCTCATACGATCGGCGGTTTTACCCAAGACTATGACGAGTTCATTAGACTTCCAATTGTAATCAATTTGTCCCAGAGATCACATACGGATACAGGGACAGAAAGTGCCGAGCAGGCAAGAGTCGCAGGGCGAGCAATTGCAGAGGTTGTTCTGCCATTCTTGATTCTGGACATTAGGTCCCTGAGAGTACTGCTGGGCCATTGTGAATAATGCGTGAGTTGATTGACCAAGCAATTGATTTATAGTTGAACAGAATTTGAGCCAAGAAGAAAGAGAGTGTGGATTGAAGGAGGGGGGAGGAGGAAGAATAACGGTCAAGAGGGCGCAACGGCGTCTTATGAGAGAAACTCCTACGGACAATCAACAGTCTCGGCACGGTGCTCGCCTTTCGTTTCAGACTGGCGTATCACAAGCAAGCCCTTTCCTCCCAGAGCTTCAGCTCTAAGCCTTCACGGTAGCTAGATCGCCCTTCATTTCCATGACAGGACAGGCAACAGGGGAGCCTAGCAGCCTAGCTAGAAGCCGTCTGACGCCTCGAGCTCAGCAACATGATGGGGAAATCATCCCTTGGTTGCATGTAGCTACCGCATTGACACCGACGCTATGTCTCACAAGCTGGCTGTGCAACTTGTACAACTCTGCACAAACCCGGCAAGCAGAATACCTACTCACATACTTTCCAAGTGCGGTGCTTCACGGTAGAGCTGTTTCCTTGAAAAGGTAGTTCAGCCACGGCTTCTGACTAGCGTCCTAGGGCTGACATGGTTGGCGAGTGGTGGTGGAGTGTGCCCCCAGCGTGTCAGCCTTGGTGTAGGGATCTTTGGAGCTGCAGAAGATTAATGCCGCCCAAGCTGGTTAGTTGAACCGCTTATCATGAGGCCATCAGAATTGAATTGGGTAACTCTCACAGTCGTGTCTGGTCTTGCGCGGTCAGAGTCAAAAGGGTGGAGGACAGCTCTCAGCTTGGGCTTCAATAGGCCACACTAGGCAAAGTTCGGCCACCACTGCGAATGTCATTCCACGATGATATTCTTAGAAAAGACGTGTACATCCCTTAAATGCTGGAACATCCAACTTGGTAGCGTCTCATTGACGATGGGGCAATGCAATTCTTGGTATTTGCGGCTGAAGCGGGCCTGAATAGGTAAATCGGCATGAAAAAAGCCCTGTCGGATTTTTTATGTCGAATTATCGTTGAGGTGCAATTGGCAATCCCAAATGTGATTGTAGAGTGGTATAATAATAAAGGAAACGTGACTGCAATCCGTTTCTACACTAATAAGCGGCCGCGAGCTCACGTAGTAATACGAGCTGCCTTGCAACTTCAACAAGATAAAGTCCGTGTTTGCTTGCATCTACATAGGTAGGTATCGCCTTTCTCATCGAAGTCCAGGCTCGTGCGCCCGCGAAGCCTCGACTCTCTTAGAGGTTGTTTGTCGACTGAGTATCACATAATCGGGTATCACCACCTTTTCTCCTCGTAGTTTTCGCGCCCTCGGTGAGTAATCGTCTTTTGAGAATCCTAGCTTCTCGTAGAACTTGAGGGCAGATTTGTTGCTGACAAAACACGTGAGCATGGCCTTTTCAACTGAAGGTATGTTCTCCGCGACGTCCGTGAAGTAGCCCATGAGCTTCTTGCCGAGACCTGTTCTTTATTGGATGTCAGCTAGCTCAACGGCCATCCGTGTTCTATTTGTGGTACACTCCTGCATGATGGACGAATCCCCGTTGAAATGCGGATGGTCTCAGGAACGGCCATGTTGGCTTACTCACCCTTGTAACTCTGGCTTCAGATGTATCTCATAGCAGTAAACGACCGGCTCATGGTTCTCGAATGTCGGCATAAAAGATGTAAACCCTTTTATGTTGTCCTTGCTGTCTTTCACAAGGATGTAACGAAGGTCCGGGGACCGCATCTCCTTCTTCTTAGTGGCCGGATGCCAACCGAGAGACGAAGTGCGATAATCTTGGCCGCTTGTTTCTTCTACCAAACTATAACATGCCTCCAGATCTCCATTGCTCATGCAGGTAGGACGTATGAGGCTCATGGAATAGGTTGCTCCATCTTGTGGGTGTTTCCATTCTGACCAACCTTGGCTACCACGCTTGTTATGACTGAATTTGTCTGGGTTATACGTAAACTAACCTTGGCTTCACATATTGTGTCAGAAACTCATCATCTTCGACCTTGTTGGCCGTCTCAATGGGGTTTTCGGGTCGTTGTCGTCTTCTTCCAACCAATCTCCTTGGTTCTCTCGTGCCATTCGTATCTGTCATAATCTTAATGTGAGGTCCTGATGCTGCAGACAAAGGAAGAAGAAACAAGGATGAAGATATTGAAAATGAGAATGGCAAGGTGGTAATATACCTGTCTCTGTCAAACATGGTCAAACCTTCCACTAACAACATGAAGGGTTGAATGAACCGGAAAGACCAGGCCCTCTAGATAGCCGAGGTTCGTCCGACATGATGAGAAAGCCCGTTTGAAGCTTTTCATCATCAATATCTAAACCTCAAGGAATGTCAAAATTCACTATTTCTCAATTAACGAGGTAGAAGTTGGCGGAATGGGCCTTAGCATTCGCTTGCTGACATTCAGCCGTGGCTATGCCACCAAACCAGGCGGTTCCCGTCTCAAGCCAACATTAAGTCTCGACCAGGTATGATTTACACGCTCGGGTCTGATACAAGTTTCATGACGTCAAATACTGATAGAATCGTATCTAGTTCATCCAAAGAGGTCGAGTCTTGGCTTTCTACCGCACTATCCTGCGCGGGACAAAAAAGATCGCTGATCCTACAACAAGAGCTGAGTCTCGAAAATATGCCCGCGACGAATTTGAACGGCGTCGCAACGTAACAGACGCTGTATGTTTCCCTCACTCGCTTCTCGACCCATTTACTGACTGTTCTCTCCAAGTCACATGTTCGGTATCTCCTCTCAATTGGAAAGACGGAATGGGAAGGCATGGAGAGGTATATCGATGGTATGTAGCGCAGCAGTTGTGAATGTAGGTGTAGTTGTACATGACGAACAGCTCCGGTCCCAGCACTGTCGTCTTTTTCTCAAATTCCATAGAATTTTTATTCAAGGCTTCTCACTGAAAGAATCGCCCAGCATGTCGTTCGTTCTATCACGCATAATGTTTCCCGTTGCCCGCCTAGCAATGTCCGATTCGCAATTGCTTCACACATATCGTACATATCCTCCCGTATCCCATCATTCAGAATTAACCTTGTCGTTGCTTATGTCGAGGATTCGCCTTGCAGATGATATACAAGTATCCGTTATGTCGCTTGCCGGCTTTCCGTCGAACAACCTATCGAGTATCAGTTCTGCCCGGGTCTAGTCCCCGACGTGAAGCCGAGTTCCTGGCTGCCCTCTCTTACCTTGCAGTGCTCGCATCGCTTCTTTACCGAACTGTGAACCTTCATGCCGCGAGTCTGTTGCATCGACCCGTTTCCGAGTGCTCGAGAGATGGGCGTCGTTGAGGGGCTGGCAAAGAGCGACCAGTTGGCGCGAGTCGCAAAAGCGCCCATGGCATTGATTGGGGTCAATGATCTCGCTGACAGCGAGAAGGCGCGAAGAAATGAAGCCATCGTGGTTGATTCTGAGGCGGACGACCCTGGTCAGAGAGAAGTTCTATCCTTGAACAGTTGAGGTTTGCCTTCGAGTGCCGAATCGTCGAATCACGTGTGGATAAAACCACCCCGGAATCCACTTTTCCCATCTCACCAGGATCCTCAACCTCCATGAACTTCATATCCTGATGACACAAGATCTATAGGTCTTTACAAAATTGTTATGATGCATTCTAGCCATTATGATCACAGTCTTCCCGAAATTTCACCAGAGCTTCGTCTTATTCTAGTGAACTTGATTAACGCTACGGGTCAGAAAATAGCTATCTCAGCATCAACGATCCCAAGCTGTGCTCATTCTCCCATTATAGCCAGCTTCCGTTTTCTTTCAAAAGTTATCATTCTATCCTCCGTGTAGCTATCATCAAGTCCTTGGGTATTGTAAACAAAACCGCATCCTGGGTTCTGCAATGTGCCATCTACCAACAAATCAAAAGCAACCAAACGTTCCGTGAGTTCCCAAGTTCTAGGGCGGACCTAGGTGGGTTTTTCCCAAGCATCACCAAAATCCCGCAGCATCCTGTTCCGGTCGTCGACCTTCTGCAATGTCGGCCCTCACTTTGAGGTTTTGGGCCGCCTTCGTGGCTGACTCGAATGTGTGGCTTTCCTTTGCATCTCTGAATCCTTTAAGGAGAGGGCGCCATCCCTGGCCTTCGCAGAAATGACCCCCGACACCATCATTTTCATCCAGCTCAGCAAGTTTAGAGTCAGTGTAAGTCATGATGATCGAGAGGGCCCGGCATGCATCAATATGAAGAGCATAGTTCTTAGCTTGTGTCTTATTGGCGTCCTTCTGTAGGAGCAAGTCTTGAAGAGTTGCCAGGCCCTGGAGGCAGTCGTTATTTTTCTTGTGCTCGCAAATAAGTTGCTCCTGTAACGATGGCCGGTCGAAATCACCATTTGGGAGGAGCACCATCTGAGGGAGGTCATGTGTGGTCTTCCGGGGCTGCAAAGAAAGGAGTTCTTGGCCATCGTCATGGACCGGAGCATCAACGTTGAAACCTTTGGGGTCCCAGTCCTCCTCTAAGAAAAGTCCCATCAGAGAGATGTCATGTTGTTTTTGGTGATCGCTCTGATGGTCAAGCAAGCCCTGGAACGTACACCCAGCGCAGTCTTGAGGGTCAGGTCGGTTTCGGACCTGCCGGGGGCAAAAGAAAATGTCCAACATCTTGTACCCACACGAGCGGCAAAAGATTGAAGTGACCTTTCGGGTATCGTCGTAGGACGGGTCAAGACTGTTATAATTTGGCGGCTGTAGGTCGGTGCGTACGGCCAGGACCATGTCATACTTCGCTCTTCTCATGGCGGCGTGGTCTTTGGATCCAGCCTCTTTGAGATCAAGATAGCGGTACAACCCGTCTAGGAATTGAAAAATGATACCGGGTAGCATGGGAATATCCGAGAGGTACTTCATGAAGGCTGCGTCTTTATCCATCAGAAGACGGATGCCCATCTTGCGAGCCTTCAGAACAGTTTTCAGAAGAATGGCGAAAACGCCTCGCTGGACCATCTCGAGGTCCATATGGGTCCAAGTGATGCCGTATCCATGTGTCTCTCTTCCGGCAGGCTCCATACCACGTTGCTTCTCTACCTTGGTGAGATTGTCGGCAGTGGGCACCTTGAAGGGCATGCCGGCTTGGTACAGAGGGTAAAAGTCCAAGGCTTCTACTAAGGGCAAGCCCTGGCTGCTGCGCTTCAAATTGACCTCATGGATAAGGTCCAAAAGGCAGACGATATCACCAAAGTGAATCAGGGGGCATTGATAGATGCCAATGGTGGTGACGTGGGGGCAAGCACGCAGGATGCATGCCAACAGTCGTCGGTCAAGAAGTGGCGTTTTCTGGAAGTGAAGAACACGAGTATTTGTCCTTCTGTTGAAGATGTTTGTGACTATGATTTGTCAGTGAAAGCACAGATGTGGAAGGCAATGGAACTTACGGAGGCCGAACATATTCTTCAGTGCGACTGGCTTCGACATGTAATAGTCGAGATTTTCAGGTTGGTCGACATAGTCTTGCATCATGTCTTCGAGGTTGCTGATGTCTGGGATGGACCTGGTCATGTTGATCACAACCTGCGGTGGCTTTGTGCCGCTGTTGCGACAGCGCAAGACTTCTGGGCTCATCCCCTCAATTTGCATCTTCAGTCTTTCTTTGGCATGCCAAGCAGGTCGCTCTGTAGGACCACATTCAGAGTGAATCGATTTGACCAGATTGATGATATCCTTCCGAGTACCTTTTTCCTGTTCTCGATTTTCCTCGTGGGCAGGTGACTCGCTGAAAGCTCTCTGAGAAATCTTTGGGAAAAGACACAAAAAGACGTGACCAGATGGTTCGCCATGGAACTTGTTGGTGGTGAAATCCCAAATAGCCATACCCTTGGAAAGGGCGTCCCATTCATGTGGGCGAGCAAGAGCAAGCTTTTCAAGATGCTTGATGCCGAGCGAAGCAAGTTGCTGTGCGATTAGGAGGCCTTGCGGGTGTGTTCCGTTGAAGACTTCCTTGGTGAGTTCGGAGGTATCATGCTTATTCTCAATGGAGGAGCCGGTTGCCTTGATAAGCAGATTCATGTCGCATGTATATCGACCTTGGAAGCCTTGTTCTTTTCCCTTGTGGGCATAGTCACTAAAATCTGGCTTGTAGAGGCTCTTCTTGCGTTTCTCTTCGTAAGAGGCCTCGACCTCTTCCTTAGTCATGCTAGTGACCAAGGGATGGTAGCCTTGGGACTCGAGACGCTCTCGAGACTCCTTGGGGCCATAGCGTCCTCCATCTTCAGGCTTGCAGATAGGAGTTACCTTCATGAGAGGTTGACGGGCACGGTGATGGTTGTTGGAAGGGATGGCCCGAGTCCATCCAGCATTTGTGTTCCATGCTGAGTTTGTCTCAATCGTCGAGTTGACAAGAATGTTACCAGGAACATTTTGTTTGTTCTTGTTCCGAGATCTCGCTTTGGATTTACTTTTAGCCATGGTTGATGGCTTTGCCGTACAAGAACGGCGAGGTTGTCAAGAGATTAGAGTGAAAGGAGGTCCAAGAATTCCAAGAGAATCCCAAGATGCAGTGTATATGTTTGGATTAGAGGGAAGCAATAAGGGAAAGGTGAGGATGAAAAGAGGAAGTGAGAAGTAGGAGCAGGAAAGGAAGAGGGAGAGGGAGAAGAGAGGGATATATAACAGAAGAGAAGATTATACCCCACTCCGAAAGCATAAGAAGGCTCTGACTCACTGCCAACTAATCAGCTTAGTAGGTAGCTAAGTTACTTGTTAAATTCGTTTGCAGCGCGAGTGGAGGTGTAGAAAGAGAAAGGCTGTGGAGTGTGGCTCAGGCGCGTCACCGCGAAACGAACTCCTGGCACGGGAGCATAAGAGTACAAACGGCCAAGCGCACTCGCACTGATGGCCAATGGTCAGGCTTTTGTGAAGTATTTAGCTCATTAGAGTACAATAGAGAGTTGTAAACAATGAAAGTAATTGTTGCAGTGGATATCAGAGTCTAAATGAGAGATCAGACGAAACAAGGGGTGTGTGATGTAACTCGGCCACTGAAGGCATTCTATCATATGTGCATCTCTACAAGTCTACTATCCGGCTTCTCTGGCGTCATAAAGTGCGTGAGGTGTGATGCTGTTTTGTAGTGCTATGGAGCGCTGTAGAACTATCGTCTGTGATACATCCCCTAAATCTCAGGGCGTGGTTTAGGGGACTCGGCAGGCAGCAAGCATTCTCCCAGCACCGTCTCTAGCTTCGTACACCCTCTGGATAATCTCTAAACACCTATGTTAGGTTTCCATATGTTCTCTAGAAATGCACGAAGAAGTAATGAACCTTAATGCACTGGGTGATGGTTCATGTGCTGTTCACTCCATCTTGTGAACATGGCCACCTGCATCGACTGATTGTTCACTGTACACCCCCTGGTTCATCTGTTTTGCAACAAACGGCAGAAATAATCATCTCGCAAGGCACCGCAATGTTATTCATCTTGTCAACTTGTGTCTTTTCCATCAAATGTGGAAAAGGGGCGAACCCTCAGCCTCGAGCTTTCGGTTGGCATCCAACCGCACAACCCGTTACAGAAACCAAACATCGAATCCACGCGAGTACATAATCCTCAGAGCATATTCGACTGTTTTGTTACCTTCGTGAATAGTACTTGACTTCAGAAATACACTCAAGACTTGAATCTGGGGTCAGAAAGCTAAGAACAGGCACGTGGGGGTCTTCACACATCACCCGGTTGCTAAGAGACTTCCTTTCCCTGATTAACTCCTATCATAAGACTAACAAATCCATTTCTACCTTTTTACAGAGTCTCTCAGTCCCTCGACCAATAATCGTGTCGTCCGCCGCCGTTATGAAACTTCGATCCCCTCAAGATTCGATCACCCACACACACACACGATACTACGATTCATCTTCTAGTTACCCCGTCCGTCTATATCTTTAACTCTATTGCCTCATTTATCTCCAACTTTTCTAGTTGTAACAGGTCTCCAGGGTCAATAGAAGGAGACGTGTCCAAAATACCCCTGAACCGTTGAGAAACTCCCAAGGACGAGTCTGCCCAAGGCACGTTTCGTGCCGTCTACCAAGCAAATCTACAACAACAGTACATGTTGCAATGTTTTGTTACATGCAGCTGAGAAGTTTCGAGATGGTCGAAGTTGATTGATTGAGTGATAGTTAAGTTAAAGCTTATGACATCTCAACGAGACATATCAAGCCAACACACTGAAAAACCACAGTCAACTTTAGCTTCCCGAAGTCAATCTACATATAGCTTTAGTATTAACAAGTTCCTAATGTAAAACAGAATAACATACTCTAATAACAACTCAATCAGTAACCTTATTTGCAGCTGCCTGGGGTATAAGAAGCCTTCAATACAGAAGCTTAATCTCCCAGACGTAGCTACTGACGAAGTCGCGCGTGGCATAAAGAAACATAGTCGATTTCACATTAAGTTCCCTTGAAGAGGGATGGTCGAAGTTGAGTCACAGTCATTGTACTGCCCAGACATTCACGAAAGCTAATACTTGCAATGCCGACAAGCTTGAACACAACCTTGATACATCAAAATAATACCCATGCAATGTTTATAAGGCTTCTTCGAATCAATCACCCATCGCCTGTCGTTCAAAAGCCCGACTCGGGCACCCAGCTTTCGATATCCCGAGAAAAAGGTTTCGGCCCAGACTACTCGGAAGACACGATAATGGGCACCCATGAAACGAAATAATGAAGACGAAACACTCTTTGGTAGACAGCCAAAGTTCAGGCACCAGCGTAATAATACAGTTTGGTCAAAATCGACACGAAGACTGAATACGCACCTATTGCACTGGGGACATGTCGAATCAGGTACAGACACACGCTGGAACAGACATTATTGAGGTATATATGGAGCAGCACTCATTGGGGGAGTCTTTCCTCGAAGCAGATCGAAATGTTCGATCCATTGACATACGGCCGAACCAATACGGGTCCTCTACAAGGGCTCCAATCAAGTCCAAGATCCTCAGTGGCGGTTCAACAGCCTTAACAAGCCAAAGAACTGACCCTAAAGACGCTTGGGTATTTCGTAAGTTGGGACAGACTTGTATAGAGTTTGCATCATGGCCCAGGTCCGATCCTGACGCAATGACACCGACTACCTTTGCATAGGTCACTTTCTACGCCCAATGTTAACTACAAGGTACCGTGTACAACAACCTGTGGTGGCCAACGGCGTTTTGTTCTTTGCGCCGTATTACACTCTTGCTTCATCTCACCGCCGTCTCAGTATACCCCACGAGAGTCATATTAACAAGATATGGATAAATGGGCTGGCAGATCACAGAGCGTGCCATGTTGAAACAGGGAAATAATACGAAGATCTCTCGTGTGATCCAAGATCAGAAAACACAGCCGGCAAGAAAGAAAATTCGAGATGCAGGAGTCCCCGCTAGGCATGTAATCTCTCATCGAATCGGGCATGGTAGGCCTGGGTTCACAATATCTCTGCCTTATCACGTACGCACTCACATGCCGGGCACAGACTGTGCGTTGCATGATAGCCTTGATAGGGCCAAAGCTACCAAGGACAACAGGCTAACCTGGACCAAGTATTTTAGCTTACGCCCAAGATCAGGACAAGGGTTCAACACACCACCAGCCAAACAAAGACATGAGAAACAAGCCGTTCCGGGAGTTTTGGGTGCCATCAAAGAAGTAGTGGTGGGCATGAAAGCATGGCACATGGCCGTAGCTCAATCTGCAAGGGTGCGGGGCTTGCATCAACGGTTCGTTTCGTTTCTCGACGAGGATAAGCTCGAGTCTTCGAGGTGAGTCGTCATTGTCCCAGGAGAGCAAAGGTGTGTGACGGCCGGCATGGAATACCACGCATTCACTTATGCTATCATGTACTTAATGTATGTACGGTTGATTTGACCAATTCTAGGGCACAACGGAACGGGCGGTTAAACAAGGTTGGCTGTGTATGAGATCATGACACGCATGCGCACGAGATCATGCAAACGGGAACTTCGGTTCCATCTGTCTTGGACGTCCTTACATCGACGTACAGAAACTGGTGACAGTTACCATGGTCGAGAATGCAATGTCTTCTGATTCGAAGGCACTCTGCTTCCAAAGTCTCAGGGCTTCTACAAGATGTAGCCGGATATGGAAAACTGGGGTTCAGACCCGAAGCATTCATTAGATATATGCACCGTCTCTGAGATTGATACTATTATCAGAGATATACCAAGCATATCGGTGTTTCGGGTACCGCCAATATGCGAGTGGGATGATCATGTCAAGATGAGGAGGAATGAACCCAAAAGACGCCAAATCATCTGACTCGAAACGGTGGCGCCGTTCAAGACATACATACACAGGACGGGCACCGTTGTGGCCAATGCATGACACAAAAGCTTGTGAACAGCACATGATCGTTCATAGGTAGCGGGAAACGACCGTTTTGAGGTTGATCAGATCGACCTCCAAAACGTCAAAACGGGTTCTACAAGAAAGAGCCCACTCACATGAAGAATCACGAGTCGAATCACGACAACCGCAGAGAAAAAGGTGGATCGCCATACAACAAAGGGCCGCTAGGATAAGTTAAATTGCACGGTCACATAAAATCTCCAATAAGATCATCTTGTGGAACTGCCTTGCTAGCTTGTTATTTGACAAAATGCGAAAATATGCGAGCAGCATTCTAAATCACGTAGGACCGAGGTCAAGTGTTCTTTTGTTGATAACGGTACAGCGATGGAAAATGACAACCACTCTTCATAGCGAATGAGTCATGTTCGCCAAATAGGAGAGAGACTAGCCACGCTGTAAATAACAAAGCCAATGTGAATGGCCGCTGATCAAGCGTGAAACGAATAAGCCCAGTCGCAGTATTGAAAGAGGCGACAAATTTTTAAGCCGCGATATGAATAGAACAGGGACCCTTCAACAGGCTCAGGTCTAGTGAAGAAGGGATCAGCTTCGCTCATCAGGGATACAACCCGAGAAATCTCAACATCGAATGTCGGTGTGCCCTGGATAAAATTCCATCACAGTGGGCACTGGATCGAAACGAACGCTCTGCTGGTCCGGGCTCTATTCCGGGGTTCCAAGGGGCAATGCAACACTGCTTGCTGTTGAAGGAATAAACCGTCTTGGACGTTGGCGATCGAGTTCAACAAAATTCCTCGGCAACATTCACGTCGCAATATGTACTTACCTGACGCCAAAGAGGCTGCAGGGTTGGTCCCACAACCCGAAATCCTGCATGTGGAGAGCTGTGGTTGAATGGTTGCGCTGATGGGCATGTGGACCTAGAGGGCATTGTCAACCGGCCACGGACCATGTATGTAGGTATGGTGATCCCGGGTGTGCACCAGAAGCATCCTACTCCTCTTCTTGTGAGGTTATTGGTGTACGAATCTCTGAAGGGAGGTGGTTGTAGATCAGAGCCAAGTCGACACGGTGAGCAGGATCAGGGAAGATCATACGGAGTATCAGTCAAAATTATAACGCCTCAGGAGCCAGCTCAGACGAGAAGAAGGGGCTCCGAACGGAACCAGAGTTCGAGGCTCTCAAAGCACATGAACTTCATTTTGATGGCATTCTCATGGCTCCTGTCTAACAAAGCTACCGTCAGCCGGTTTAGGTTAGCAGACGTTGGATGTGATTGGAAATCTTTTGGCACATCCAGAGAATTGGTTGTACCGCTCGTGCCGCTGGCCATATATCCTGTGCAAAGTTGTTATTGTCTCGGCTTTGATCCGCCTGTATAGATAGTATGTGTCTTGCCAACCAAGTCCCCAACTTTCAATAGTAGCAGTAGTCTCGGAATGCTTGAGTCAAGGGAATGAAGGAATGAACATCCGTATTGTAGTCCAAATAGCTGGTCCACTGGTATCGGAGGCTTCAGGGCGGTAAACGGCCAAAACTGGCTTGGTGATCGCGGCTCTGGCTGATCTACTATCCCCAACTTGTCACATATCTGTGCTCGAGTTGGTCAAGGCGGTAGCTGAACTGGGAGTCACCTGAACGCACGGTGAGGGAGCGCGATCGTGTGAGCCACGGCTGGGGTTAATCAGTAGTCTGGTCTGCCCTCGATTATGGAATCGAAACCTGAGTGGCTGATGGAGGCCTGAGTGTGGCATCGCGGAACCGTGACATTGTTGTGCCTCCACTGTGAATGGGTAGCCAACCTCCAATGTTCGTGTTGGACAATGGAAATAGCTGTGTGTGGAATGATACAGCCTGCAGGCGCATATATGTACTGATACTTGGTAATCATAGCTATAACTCGACTTGATACACGTTGAACGTTTGGTGGGTGTATACCCCTTGGATTCAGCCTCTGTTCTTGATCGCGTTTGCTCAAATGTTGGTCAATCTCCAGGGTAGCATTCTCCTCATTCATCGTGATTCTTGAAAGTGAGAGAGCTTAACAACAGGCGAATAAGGGTCGTGGAAGCGAGGATTTGCGGGTCTAGCGGTCAAAGTAAGGTACCGATACTATCTTGGGAATCAGAACGTATGCGCTTGGTTCACAAGTCCAGCGAGGTACCTTTCGTGCATGGCAATGTATCTTTTATGGGGTCCAGTCCCTTGCCTCAGTAGACCGTATTGATTGATTCGTCAGAGTATCTTGAGTTAGGGCACAATGCGGATACTGTTTAATACGACGTTCTCGCTAGCGCCCAGCCGCCGTAGGGCCATGTTTAGGCTTGAAACCAGGTCAGACCAGTCTCTCCTTGAACTTTGGGTCTTAGGTAAGGTAGCTAACGTTAAAGAAATCGATGAGCAAGGAATCACCAGATCCCAGACAAACCTGCTGTGTAGTGTAATGGTGTGCTCGGTAGAGTTTCCATGATGGCCGGCTCTCGTAGCCACGACATGTTGGAGGGTTGATATATAAGGTTACTGGATAGAAGCGTTTGTCAGAGGATGACGCTGGTGCGGGTAGCTGAAGTGTGACCTGATATGACATGACCTGACACTTGGGTGCTTGGTGCATCCCACGGCGGAACAGGGATACGCTGTGGACTGGGAGAAAAGCAGCAACAGTGTTGGGGTCGTAAACTCGAACAAAACGGATTTCTTGACCCGAGACGATATTCAAATCCAAACTAACGTCACAATATCCATTGCAGTAAACATGAGACAGTAGAGCCTCATGGCAGCTATGGGCGGCGCCGTGGTTTATCTGAGCGTCAAAGTGGTGCCAGAAGACACAGCAGAGCCAAAAAGCCAATGACAGGGTCATGCAGTCTAGCAGACGACCTCTGGGCTGGGGAAGAGCATTGACGACTGGCTGTAAAATGTCGAAACTGCCACTTGTCGAAATGCTCTGGTTCTGGCATAACAACATCATCTCGGGTTCTGTTATATCGATCCACCCAAGACCATGTCAACTGCGTTGATCTTGGCCGCCTGGGCACGGCGCACTCGTCGGCACTGGGCTCGAGCGAGAAATCCAGGACAAGGACTTGGTGGATAGTTCGGAATGAAGCCTGTCCTGTTGTCAAGGGGCTTTTAACAAGGCCGGTGACAGGAGGCGGCAGGACTTTGGATGGTTGATTGGATTTTGGTGGAAGATCCTAGGAGCTGGGTAGAATGTTTTTATTAATGGGGAACAGTATCCGTACACAGCCACTTAAACAACACAACGAGCCACTGAGTCAAGAGAAAGCCATAATTGTAAATTGATGTGCACACGGCTTTTGGCCCATTTGTGACCCTTGGGATGCACAAGGAGGCCAAGTGCTAGGCCAAATTGCTCGGCAGAGTGGAGATGGATGATACAGGTGATTGGAGAAAAAGGCGGTTTGAAGATCGATATTGAGCACCGTCTTGAGACCCTGTCCGTGCTATTGCTCAGAAACCGAGCTAGAAGAGAAAATCAGTGGACAATGAACAGCGAAATTTGTCTTCCATTTCTCTAGGACCAAGACCCGCATGATTGAGTCAGGGCTGGAGATGGGGTGAGCAAGCCTTGGCATGGTTTTCTATATAGTGGTTGACAGACAGGTAGAGTTCCAGGGCAATCAACACCGTATCGAAGGGTAGTTTGAATCGATGGATGATTTCCATGCCCAAGATGGAGCCGTTGGATACACCTGGTAAAGAATAGCGCTGAAATTTGCGTAGGCAATCTGCATATAGCGGCAACGAATCTAGGCGTGATGATGAGTGTAGTGTATCGTATTCATCTCGAGGATAGTTGTTGATATTGATACAATGCGGAACAGAGTACTGGGATTTACTCGGAGGACGCCCGGAATTGCCAGTCAACTAGAGAATAGGTATCAAAGGGATGATGAGCAACGGAAGTAGAATTATTGGATACGGCCGAAACGGAGGATACGGTGAGCGCCTTCCCTTGCTTCCTTTGCTCCATGTGCTCAAGGTTGGCAAGGAAAGTGCTATTTACATTTTATTTAACCTGCCAGCCTGTGATGAGCGTGCGCCCAGTTCAGACGGAACCAAAGTCCTGAGGTAAGGTGAGGAAGGAGTGTACCATCAGAGACTGAGAAGGTACGTGTCGAGTACGTGGGCCCTGAAATATGCTACTGCAATTTTGTCCGCGACTAGCGTCATTCGCTAGAGTCAATCCACTGGTAGCCGGCAGGTCGATGGGGCATCTGCAATATTAGTTCCACTTGTTTAATGCAGCACAGACCAGGGCATCACCCAGCAACAACAAGGAGAGAAAAATGAGATTGTTGAGAAGAAGCATAGAATTGGTTAACGAGAGACAGGTAATTTTGAGGAGATATTAGTTGCTGGGGAACCAGATGAGTGATGTATCATGTTGCAGATTGCATGAGCTGTGGTGGATGTACTGTAAATGTACGGAGTAAATCCTTATCAAACGGATAGATACGGAGGATGCGATCTGTTGCTGAACCATCAGTGGATGTTGGAAGCTGTGATGTGCCCTGTACTCCTTGATTGTAGGTGTTTTGACGCGAGAGTAGCCAATGAATAGACTAATAAGCGGATCGTTTACAAATGAGGTGCTCCTCCGTTCACATTAAGAGATTACACTTTATCGTGAGAGATTAGGAGATTGTGTGGCTTGAATAGAACAATCGAACTTGAATAACTGCAAATCAGATGCCGAACAGTGCAGTTACTGTCACTGCAGATACGGTCCAGTGATCCCTCGTGCGGCACCAACACTGGATCTATCTACAAACTGTACGGTATGGCTAGCCACTGGTCAACTGAAAAGTTGACTGAGGTGCTGATATGAGGCGCCAGCACACTGATGACTCCTCCCTCTCTCCCCCCTTTAGGTTCCCTTCCCTACTAACCCTGCCCTTGCCGGTCTTTAATCTCTTCACTCCCCTAATTCCCGCCCAATTCTGCACACGCCCCGCCCGGACCCACGTCCTCAGTTTTAGCCCTGTTCACTGTGTGTTACCCTGCCTGAATGTACCGTACTCTTCCAACCTGGGCGTCCATGGGATAAGATACCTCTCTTCTGATCCCTTTTTCACAGCAAGACACCAACAAATAAGTACCCCAAGCCTCCCCGTCTGCTACGAAACCTCTCTTCCCTCCTTCTTCTTTCCCCTCTACCTGCTCTTCAGCTCCATCTAAATCCAACGCCTTTTTCTGGATTAACTTCCTTTTTTCTTTCCTTTTTTATACCAACGTCTTTGTTTGCTGTGATACCCAATCTCATTTGATACCCCCCAAAATCTTTCAAAATGGCCGAGGAACAGAAGAACATCGAGGCCCCTCAGGAGACCAAGCCTGAGATTGCTGCCCCTGCCACTGGCATCTCTGCCCCTGCTGTTGAGGCTCCCGCCGAGACAAAGCCTGTCGAAGAGACTCCCGTTGTCGCCGCCGAGACCTCTCCCGCTACAGAGGAGAAGCCCGCCGAGGAGACCAAGCCTGCCGAGGAGGCTGCTAAGGCTGAGGAGAAGAAGGAGGAGGAGGAGGTTAAGCCCGTGGAGGAGGGTCACTTGAACCACAAGGCTCAAGGCCTGAGCTTCCCCAAGTAAGTAGAATTGCATATACAAGTCCCAGCCTTGCCGCCAGCAGGTTTTCTACATCTTCTTCCACAGAAGAAACATTGCTACTGCAAACGCTTCAGTTCTCGAACTATCAAGAACAGGGCACTAACTTCACGCCCCCTTCAGGAACCTCATCCCCAGCAAGGAATTCTTTTTCTTCGGCACCGAGGCTGTCGAGCCCAAGGCTCTCTCCCACTACCTCAAGAGCGAGAAGTCCACCGAGACTGCTCACTCTAACATTGCTTGGGCTTCCGAGACTGGCAAGGGTCTTCTCTTCGTTGGTGATAAGAAGAGCCCCTCTAGCGTCATCAGCCTGGTAAGTTTTGGACCCACAAAACTCCCGTCTCCTGCAGTGTCAACTGCCGACATGTCAGAGTAAGCTAACCACCAATTTCCACAGGCTGATGCCACAGAGCCCGAGGTTGACGGCTCCCACAAGTTCCACCTCACCTCCAAGGGCAACAAGCACACTTTCAAGGCTTCCAGCACCGCTGAGCGCGACAACTGGGTTTCTCAGCTGAAGCTCAAGATTGCCGAGGCTAAGGAGCTTGCCACCACCGTCACTGAGTCTGAGACCTACAAGGCCACTCTCGAGAGCTTCAAGCCTACTCCTGTCAAGAAGGAGGAGAAGGCTGCTGAGGCCGCCAAGGAGGAGACTCCCGCCGAGGCTGCCGTTGCTGTCCCTGCCACTGAGGAGGCTGCTCCCGTCACTGAGGAGACCGCCAAGGAGGAGGAGATCAAGGATGTCAAGCCTGAGGAGCCCAAGCGCCGATCTGCCAGCCGCAAGCGAACATCTTTCTTCGGCTTCGGCAAGAAGGAGGAGTCCAAGAAGGAGGAAGTGAAGAAGGAGGCCGAGGCCAAGCCCGCCGATGAGGTTGCTGTCGAGACCCCTGCTGTTGAGGAGACCCCCAAGATCGACGAGCCTGTCAAGCCTATCGAGGAGGTTGCTCCCGCTGCCGTTGAGGAGCCCGCTAAGCCCGCTGAGGAGACTGCCCCTGAGGCCGTCCCCGCTGTTGCTGAGGACAAGCCTGCGGAGAGCCCCAAGGAGAAGCCTACCGCCACCAAGCGTAACAGCTTCTTCGGTAACGTCTTCTCCAAGAAGGAGAAGAAGACCCCTGAGCTCAAGCCTACTGAGCCTGAGGCTACCAAGGAGGCTGAGGCTGAGACCACTGCTCCTGTGATCCCCCCTGTTGAGGCTACCACTCCTCTCGCTGTTGACGTTTCCAACCCCGCTACCGTCCCTACTGAAACCACCGAGACTGCTGCCGCCACTTCCCCTGCCCCTGAGGCTAAGAAGGACCTCAAGGAGAAGCGCAAGTCTTCTCTGCCTTTCGCTTTCGGCAAGCGTGACAAGTCTCCCGCCCCTGCTGAGGGAGAGAAGAAGGAGTCTCCTTTCTCGAAGCTCCGCAACACCATCCGCGGAAAGTCCCCCAAGCCTGCTGAGAAGCGCGCCGAGGAGAACAAGGAGGAGACCGTCCAGGAGGAGCCTACCGAGGCCAAGACTGAGGAGCTCAAGACCGAGGAGGCCCCCAAGATTGAGGAGCCTGCTAAGCCCACTGAGCCCGAGGCTGAGGACAAGCCTAAGGACGCCGCTCCCGCTCCCGTTGTCACCGCCGCCGCCTAGAGGGTTGCCCGGCGCTGAGCGTTGAGATTTACGACTGAATTCACAATGAAACAATAACCCCAACACCATCATACAACACGCGCATTGAGAAGGTTTGGGAATGGAAGGATGGAACTGCATTTCTTCACAAGATACCGAGATACCCTGTCGAGACTGCTTCACTGATACCAATTTCCATAGCTAAGTTACTGAATATGACGGAGGAGAGGAGGATGTTGAAGAAAAGGGATACCTGATGGATGTCCGAAAATCACCAAAAAAAATGTTGAATGGGCTTTCGACTTTGATGAGTCGAGTTGCCCGCGTCGTTGCTTCTTGTTTTTCTTGTCTGATACCCGGGATGGAGATAATTAATACCTAATAATACAACTGCTGCGTGTTGAATACCTTGTCTGTACCCATGAAGTGATTGCTTTATCTTTACCAGTTGAGCTTTGAAATCTGTTTCCATCATGTCAGCTTAGGTCTTAAGCAATAGATATGGTTGATCATGGTCTTCATTCATTCATACCATGTGGCGTTATCTATATTAATTGAGTTGCCTTGGAGCATTAGTATTACACTTGCTAGTCCTCACCCTTGGCCTTTCCCATGGACCGTCTGGAGTCTCTTCACCATGTCTAAAAGACTATAACGAACCAGAAGATTTAAAACTAGGAGTTAAAGAGTCTACGAAGTTTATGCTTTGATCCTAACTTGTCCTAAGATTACCTAAAGATCTATATTATTTGGGACTAAAGCCTTGAGCTTTCTGCTACCTAAGAATAACCGAGTTCTTTAAATAAAAGACTTTAGCATTTCGCTAACATCAAGGCCAGAAATACCAAGGCCCTGGTAGGCACTCCAAAGATTTCAAGCACTCAAGGCTTTAGAAATGCCAAGACCCTGCCAGATTGGGACAAATACCGCAGATTAATTTCAAGGTCGTGATACTTACATTGTCGCCTCTATCCTTACTATCAACTCCGGAACCGGCCCTCGTTTTGTCGCGCACAAGAATCGACTTTGTGTCCTATCGACTTCTTGGTGCCTTGTGGCTTGTCGGGGATATCGACACCTTATCTGAGTCTATAGATACGTATGCGTTAAGGACGCAAACAATTGTGGATAACGACGAGGTGGAGGTTGGAACTATTCGCGTCGACACCTTTTTAGTACTTCCTCCAGTATTTCCGTACCAACAATTGTATCGTGAATGTCTACATCCACCGCCAATGGACACGCCGAGAACCAGCCTACTTCAGTTGAGGAACGGAGCAACACTCTCCCGGATACATCTTTCGTCTCCTCCGCCGTCCAGAATCCGCCTGCTTTTGGTGAGGACTCGATTGACACTCCATGGCGCGAGCTTTGGAGGAACGGCTACCAACTACCGACCTAGGTAGTAAAGAGTTCAGTTCAGTTGAGCAACCCCTATTGATATCTAGCAGACTACTGAGCCCTCATAAATTATCCTAAGCAATCCTAAGTTACATCAAATTATCCTAAAACTGCCGTAGGACTTATATTGCTTATGTCTAGAGTTTTCAGGCATCCACTACCTAAGATATATAAGTTCTTAAAGGCATATCAGCACCGATAACTACAAAAAGACATGAAGAATAAGGTAGGGCCACTGCACGAAATCAGGTTAAAGCTATCCTTAAGCATCTCGGCAAACTTAAACCCCCAATACCTAAATTTACTGCAGGCAAGCTTAGCCAGTCTCTCAAAGCCAGAGACCTGGGTCGACCACTCAACCAAGCCTACACAGTCAATATCGACCTCATAAAGTCCCAATGGGTAACGGACGAGCAACGCAGCTCCAATTTGATATGTAGGGGATTGTTTCGGCTATCCGCCCTGGAGAACCACTACGTTGTCAAATTGCAAGGCATGTCAAAGGTCTGGGGAGAAAGACTTCCCAGAATAGAGAGGTTTTCCCTACCTAACATGACCGACGAAGACATTGAAGCCAAATGGGATGAGACCAATGTTAGTGTGCATATGTAGGTACGATTCGAGGCTGATATGTTGATTTCTAGTCTGCGTTAGAACTGCCATTGACTTACACTACGTTGAGATATGATGTGGGCGAAGAAGAGTGGAACGAGGACAGATCATTAAAGGGAAATGGTAAATGACCGAAGGGAGTAGCCAACGTCAATAGTGAGTAGGTGGCTTGGGTGCTCCTTATTATTGTAAATAGATGTAGTAGTTGCCTTATTCTGCCGCTCATAATGGTTTAGATCACGATTTGGTTGTGTCCTTTAATCAAAAATGTTGATGATGCTGCTTCAAAGCTTTTTATAATAGAATTCCCCTGAAAAGCCACCAAAGTGTTCACCTCAGGAGAATGGCAATTATACAGCTTATCTTCAATACCTAGAAAAATAAACTACTCTGTAGCTAGCACCTGGCGTGTGCAAATGTACTGTTATCGCTGTTGGTGATAGCGTCATTCTTCATTACATAAGACTAAACTCGCGCATCGGTTGGCCATGCTCATCAGTCTATGACTGAAGCGGCTTACCCATGCCTCCATATGTGATCATCTTTGTAATCTGATACTCTCCGATTCCATACAGTGAGCCCTCACGACCGAACCCACTCTCTTTGACACCACCGAACGGCGCAGCAGCGTCGGAAATGATACCAGTGTTGACTCCAACCATACCAACCTCAAGAGACTCGGCAATGCGGTGCACACGCTCAATATCTCGGGAGAAGAAATAGCCTGCAAGGCCGACTTCGGTGTTATTGGCCATCTTGACAACTTCGTCCTCTGTCTCGAAGGGGAAGAGACCAGCGACGGGTCCAAAGGTCTCTTGTGAGGCCATGTCCATCTCAGGGGTCATGTCACGGATGACAGTGGGTGCATAGAAGTTGGAGCCAAGATCGCTGAGTCGCTTGCCTCCGATGGTGATCTTTCCGCCCTTCTTCTCAGCATCCTTAACATGAGCCTCAACCTTCTCAATAGCTCGATCGTGGATCAGTGGTCCATGTGTAACGCCCTGGTCAAACCCGTTGCCTACACTGAAAGACTTGACCTTCTCGGTAAACTTGGACACAAACTCATCGTAGATTCCGCGCTGGACATAAATTCGGTTGGCGCAGACACAGGTCTGCCCCGAAGACCGGAACTTGGATGCGATAGCTCCAGCCACAGCGGCATCCACATCAGCGTCATCAAAGACAATGAAAGGGGCGTTGCCACCAAGCTCCATGGATAGCTTCTTCAGAGTGCCAGAGGACTGCTTCATGAGAAGCTTGCCAACACCAGTGGATCCCGTGAAGGAGACCTTGCGGATAGTAGGGTCAGATGTGAGAAGCTCGCCGAGCTCGGGCGTGTTTTCGTGCGAGGTCACGACATTAACGACACCCTTGGGGATGCCTGCGCGGTGAGCCAATTCGGCCAAGGCGAGTGAAGTAAATGGTGTTTCGGCAGGGGACTTTGCGACGACTGTGCAACCTGCTGCCAAGGCTGGTCCGATTTTTCGTGTGATCATGGCGGCAGGGAAGTTCCATCTAAAGAACGTCAGCTATGCTTCCTGTGAGAGTGAAACTAACTTACGGTGTGATGAGACCGCAGACTCCAACGGGCTCTTTGATAGTCCAAACACGGTTTCCAGGAACCGAGCTTGGAATTGTGTCACCATATACTCGTGGTGCTTCCTCACTGAACCACTCGAGAAAGTTTGCAGCATATGTTGTCTCACCCTTGGCATCGGCGATGGGCTTTCCATTCTCCCAGGTAATAATCTTTGCGATATCCTCAGCATTGGCGGCCATTTGATCATACCAAGCGCGCAGTAGCTTTGAGCGCTCACGGCCCGTCTTGGCGCGGAATGAAGGGAACGCATCTGCAGCAGCGCTGATGGCTAATTGGGTATCTTTGGAGTTGAATTCGGGGCACGTTCCGATGAGTTTGCCAGTGGAGGGATCTACACTGTGAGTATATGACATTGTTGAATGAGAGGGTGTAGCTCACCATGGACTTCGAATGTCTTGCCGGAACCGGCCTTGACCCATTCACCATTGACGTAACAAACATCCTGCTTGAGAAGTGATGGATCTTTGAGCTACAAGAGATTAGTCCTGTAATCAATCATTCAGACTGTGAGATGTGTACCTTTGGGGGAGCGACATTGGAAGCTCTCCTTGTGAGCATCAATGAGATGACTGGAGATTGTCGCAGAGCTCCTCGCGATGGAGCGGCCAATCGTTGGAGAAGAGCCATCTTGATATCTCGACTCACGCTTGACAGAGTCAAACATACAATGCAATCAATCAATTGAAGAGATAAAGGGTCAAGACTTGGAGCTTCACTGTTGCCGATGACGGATCGAGGTTGGTGATGGCGGGGTGACGTCTTGTTAAACAAGCTTGTGTGGGGTTGACTAAAGCTCCCGGAGCCGGTATCTTGACCACTATCGGCTCCGGCGGGACCGGCACAAGAGATATCGGCATGTTATTGCCAAAGGCCGATTAGTTAACCTCAAATAGTTCCATAGTGAGTCAGTCCCTGCAGTTTCTTAACATTCTTCAGCTTAGAGGCTTCGACACCGGCAATTCTTGTGGAGCTATCTCTCTGTATTTCACCAATCGACCGGGCCGTGTTTACGAAATAGGCAATTCCGCGCGAAGGATAACTCATGTAAATCTCACTTAATTATCAGATTCATATATGAATAACAGTTAATGGAAGTCGAGCCTCGTCGGGCTATATATGTTCCTTGGTATATCATCTTTAACTCCAAACACCCAATGCTCATTAATGATAGTGGTCCCCTCATATCATAACCCAAATTTCATCTTGATACTTCTTCAGCCATAGTATCTGTTTTGCTGAGATCGCAGTGGCAGCTGGCGATCTAGAGTGTGGAAAGCCTGTGTTCGAGGAGTATACGGCATTGCTCGAATACTGGGAGTCTTCATGTTGTGCATCTCCCAAACACCTCCCTTCGGCTCCGAAGTCGTAGATCCATCTTCATCGTCGTCGTCGTCCGAAACATCGTTGATCTTATTTGGGAGCATGGCATAGATGCTGAATCCCAGATTGCAGAGATAGATTGCCCTGAGTCAGTGTTAGTGAAGTTGAGGCACATGTGAATACTATACACCACTTACAGCATGTAAACACCAATTACAAGCGAGTAACGAGCAATCATGCAGCTCTTGTACTTTCCATATGGCTTGGCGATATCGCACCCAATACGGTAGTACCAAGCTGCAGGAGCGGGATATCGTGAATCAGTGTAGTCAGGTCCAATGGTTCCGTAGACGCAGACTGTGTAGAGAGCGACCATGCTGACATTGATGAAAGTGGCGAAGATGGGATACCAAACTCTCATTATAAAGGCAGTAAGCTTGCCAAGGAGGAAGAAGAGTGAGATGATCGAAATAGCGACATTGAAATTGGTGAAGCTGTTCATGTTAGTCAATCCCTTGGGCACAGTCAGAGGTACACTCACGTTCGTGTCCAGATGAGAGCAATCTTTGGTTGAGGCTGATAATTGGCATAAGCGTAGAGAATTCTGGCAGGGTTCGAGTTGAGAGGAGGATTGTGCTCCCAGCCAATCTGCCACATATCGGTACGGTAAAGATTTGGTTGAGAGATGCCAAAGATGACCAGAGCAGGGACAATTCCAATCAGCTCAAGAGGCATTAACCACCACGTTCCCTTTCTCGATACGCGAGGCCACTTCCGGAATAAGACGCGGTAATTCTTTGCCTTGGCTGGTTTGTCTGCGTGCTCTTGCTGAGAGCGTTTGAAGGTTGGGAACTTCATGTTGGCGATTGATCTGATCTGATCTGAATTGATTGCTTGCTTGGTGGTATTGGAGTTCAAAGTTGCGCTGTGTTGGCTGCTGGTAGCAGCTATAAACTGTTCCACATGCGATATCGTACAGAGTCTTGATTAAGACCGTCAAATTCGTCTTTGCTGACCGGCAGCCAATTCAATAAAGATGTAAGAAGCATTCCTGGGCGGCCAGGTCGGGGGTGGGCAGCCGTTTAAGGGCCTTGGAGGTGGCCATCAGCTGAGAGGGGGCCCCCATGTTGGACAGCTGTGAGAGGCTCTCGAGGTGAGAAAAGCCGCTGTGATGCTGCGTGAAGGACCTGTAGCCAGCCTGTGAGCGGGCGCCTGGAGTGATACTCTGATGCCAATCACTGCATCTCGAGGATGAGCATTAACGGCGTGAGCCAATCAGATGATAGAAGTGAGGTGCTATCACCACTCGTCTCCTCTGTTAAGCGCCCGGGTGGAAATCATGAGATGCCCGATAGTGATGGAGTAGCCCGATTGGCTGGGCTGGAGGCTGGAGATGCAACCTCATGTGGCTGGATGACCAATCAGGGCGCGAGAAAACAGTTGAAGATGTGCTTTTGAGTGAGAGTCGCAGGGATTGGGAACCGCCATTTCTTTGCCGTCAAGTGCTCGCAGATTCAATTCCTGTGATCTACAGAACGAACGGAACGAACGGATATTTTATGTTGGTTCTTGGCCAGATTCGTCCGGATTTAGCCGCCCGTTACCATCTGTCAGTCGAGTCTCTATGGAAATGGCCTCAGTTGTGGCATCTCCATATACCGATTATCCGAGATCGAGGCTGTTTAACATTCAAAGGGTACTATTCTGAGTTTGGATACCACGAAATGTATCATTTGTGAACATCATCGGTCAGCTGGCGGCTAACAATAGCAACAGTGATGACATTATGTAACCTATAGATTACGCTGCAGCAGAGTTACGTCTTTTAACCGGATCAAATCATGTCATGAACAGCTCGAGTCCAAAACCTTGGATCAGTGTGAGGGCATTCCCAACTCCTGATGGTAGCATTCAAAATCGGTAGTTTAGACTCTGGTCCGGGCTTTCAGGCTGACCATACCATGTGCTATGCCCTGACTATCAACGACCTTTCACAAGGGCTAGAACATAAAGAGAAGACAGCATAGGTACTTGGGCCCTAACTTATTAATTGTTAGTGAGAACAACAGAATCTTCTACTTCCGCATATTATCGGCCACTACTGAGAAACTCCCGCAAGAATACTAACATCTTGACTAATCCACCTGGCTGGTGTCGGCTATCATCACCAAGCCAGCCATAAAACCGTCAAGAATGCACTTGAACCAGCCACATCGTCACTCGAGAGGAGACTCCGCCGTCACGGCAATAACGGGATGGCTTACACGGGAAGAAACCGTCAGAAGTCATGGATTTCAGTAAGCAGTATCCACACCGCCTCGCTTTTGGAAATTCCATGCGACGAATCGTGAGCATGGGGCAGCCGAGCTACCGGAGGATTATTCTTAATACCAACTCCATCTCGGCCGAATAGACCATCAGCAGCGGACGAGAGAGAAACCTTACCTTGATCATTGCCTCACGATAATTTCGAGACCCCGAAACTCGGTCCGAGTATTCACGATTCAAACAGCAGAGGCTCAAAGATTGGGCGTTTTTTTGGCGCCAAATTTCAAGGTCAACAAGGCAAGCCAAGACCAGGGGCAGACTTCGAGACCGTGTTCTCTGGAGACGGCCATTCTCACGAAAAGACAGGGGGAGCTGAAGGCTTGCGGGGCCTTGGCTTTTGAGCTCAAGGCGTGGGTAAAACAGACCGTTCTAGATCTCGCCGATCGTCATGGGTATTTCTTGATGTGGGAGAGTGAGTTCCACGCATTCGTTCCACAGGCCCAAACCATTTTATCCATTCTCCGAACAGATCGGGATTTTTTCCCTTTCGTTTTTCTTTTTCTTTTCTGCCTTTTCCTTCTTGGCTCTGGTCTAGTCGATGACTCGTTCCGTCGATACGTATTTCCTTTTACGTTACCCCTTTGTTCAGAACCTGCATGTGTTGACATGATCCGGCAATAGAAATACATGCCTCGGTAGTTTCGTGTCAAACACCTCCATCCTTGTCAGCCCAGCCCGGGTTCAAGGACAAGTACCCCCAATTGCATGTAACTCAGGGTCTTTGCTTTGAGTGATGAGAGTGTGAAAGTGAACTTGTGACAAGTCAGACATTAAAAAGTGCCCGGACGGTAGGGTTGAACTGCTAAATAGACCCAGCATCCATGGAATGTCCATTATGTATGGCCAGTGATCAAATAATGGTGCCAAGACGTTGCACCGATGGTTCCGCCGCCGTTAATGTTTGATACAGGGATCTTGGTCAATGTTGATTGTGCATGTCCTTGTCGAGGCTCTCGGCTCTCATCTCTCTCCCGTCTTTCAGTTCCGCTCCGATAAAAGAAATCCGATGGTTCGATACGATGATCGACAAGAGAGAAGGGAAAAAGCCTGATGATGGATCACTAAAGCCATAGTGCTAGCAAAGATTTGTCAAAGTCTAAAAGCTTGTTCGATTCCCATGTCTTCCTCATGACTGGCCGAGATGGACTGAAGCGGGACGGACTAGGTCCGGTGGCCTGGGTTCGTCTGTAGCGGCCAGAAAAGAAGCCGGCCGCATGTATGTATGTGGTGGGACTGCTTACTATAGACGGCAGACGGCAGATGTGGTGATGTTATCGGAGGAGGTGATATTGGTACTCGGCTGGGAGTTGCAACTCAAGAGGTGAGAACCATGCAACTTGCTATCATGACTGATATTTCACTTCTTCCACAACAGGTAACTCCATTAGTGATCATGAGTTTGTGTCCAGGTGGTCAACTCCCTTGTCTTGTCCCCTGTCAGCTTCAAGGACCCAGACCTCGAAAGCGGGTAGGTTATTTGTTGCCAAGATGATGGGATGTCCACTTACAAGCCGCCTCACGCCAATTCCCCGTCCTAATCTCCATGAACGAATATGACCCCGGTAACAACCCCCTGTTCGCTCTCTCTGAATGGCCTGCCATGGCTGTCTGTACATACATACATGCACACATATGAGTTGTTGTGCTTTATGCTGTGCTGTCCCGTACAGTATTACTGTTTTGTGATGGGACTCAGAGTCAAGCTGAAGCTGAAGCAGAAGCAGATCAATCGACGGGATGAATTATTTTCTCCGTAAGCAGATGTTGATCCTTTCTTCCTCTAGATTAGACATGTCTATCTATCATGCCCCCTTCTGTCTATCATTTACTCGTTCGATGTGAATGTCACCACTAACTAGTCTTGTGCTCGTTCCCTTCCTTTGGAAATGCTATTTCCCATTCTCCCATCCATTATTTCCATATCCATTCAGTCGGTTTGTATGGCCTGGTCTGGCCTGAAAGCTCAAATGCGGAGCAGT